ATGGGATCCAGAACTGGATCAACTTCGAGTCTTTTAAGTTTAAAGAGTTCCGAAGGGTCCGAGGGTTACGGCGTAAGGAGAAAATTTTTCCCGAATTTGTTGCTCATTTTTTTTTTGTTTGTCGTTTTTGATCATTTCATTCCGCGTTGACAACAACATGGATGTGCTTTTCTTTAATTTACCACTTTAATTTTTTGCAGAGTGACGACAAGTCCGGACGATCGTCGAGAGTTAGTTCAGTGTCATCGTCCGGAGTCAATGACGATTTCTCTACGAGGTTACAAAATAACGATGTGACCGAAAACGGCGAAATCGACTACAAGAAATTGTACGAAGAATCAAAAGCACAAAACGAGAGGCTAAAGGAAAAATTGAAAAAGACTGAAGATGAATTGACGGATGCTAGGAGTAATTTAGAAAAACATGTAAATACGGACAAAGCGTCGCTGTCGGAAATGGAAAAGAGGGAAAGACGAGCTTTAGAAAGGAAATTATCGGAAATGGAGGAAGAGCTTAAGGTACGTGCACAATTTTCTATTACCATTTTCGTGTGATGTCACGTGACATTTTCTTTTTTCTTTTTTTTTTTTTGGTCCTTTGAGAGAAAGGAAAGGTCGAAGGTAGAGTTGTTGGTGGTGGTGGTGGTGGTGGTGGTAGTGGTGGTAAAATATGTGTACCAATTGAATATTTTTGTTGTAGTTTTTGTTGTAGTTTGTGTTGCACATTTGCGAAATTTTCCTTTTAAATTCGTCGTCGTTGATTTTTTTTTTCCTTCCTCTATCTCTTGTCTGAAAATGTGCCAAAAAAATTTTCGTTTGGTCTTTTTCTCTGTTTATTTCTCTTCGTCTGAAAATGTGCCAAAAAAAATTTCGTTTGGTGTTTTTCTCGTGTTTATTTATCATCGTTTTGATTTTCTCTCTTTCTCTCACTCTTTCCCTTTCCCCCCCCTCCCCTCCCCGGCTTCCCTATCGAAACGATTTAATTTTTTAAAAAAGATTGATTGTAAGTTTATACGTTGAAAGAAAAGGCATTATTATTATTATTATTACTATCGTTTCATAGAAAGAGAAAACATTTTTGAAAATTAACGTAGTTTTTATTTT